GATAGGAACCCGCAGAACATCCACGCGTCCGAGGAAGGCAATACTCCATCCCCGTACAGATGGAATCAACAGATGAGTCCACTTGCTATGCCGCGTTCTCCCGGCCAGCCAGGGCACGGGCTCCTCCCTCCACACACATGCGAATGGAGTTTCACCAACAAGTGTTGCGGGGATCCACCAGCCGTCGCCTCCGCGGTGCTGGGTTAAAGGCAGCCACGTGCATAGCCACAGCCATCACCACCACAGGCCGGGGAGCTGAGCTTCTGAGCTCCAATGAGCTCCCTTGTTCGTAGTTTAAACTCCCTGGCGCTAGCGTCACGTGCGGCGGTGCGTGACAGCATGAGCGCGTTAAACTTTAATGTACAGCGATTGCGGCTAATAGCGTAATCGAGGGGGTGGGGGGGAAAGAGAAACAACTCCCTCCGAAAAAGTTTCTCATTTGATTTCACTGCAGACGAATATCCACGGAGTTTTGCCAACTTGACCGCAAACCCGCGGTGAAAGTCAAACAGAAGAGGCGGCACTAATGATCGCTGCCGTGTTCGATTGCTGAAGGTTGTTTTTGCGGAATTGTGCCTTGCAGAGGGGGCTAAGTGGTAATGTTCTGGCCTGGTACCCATTACACACCTATCAGCTATTGCCCCCCCCCCACCAACTCACCCCACCACCGTCAGTCAATAGCCTTTATCGGCTAAACAAAGACAACAGCGTTAAAGAATTTGAGATAATTTGCTTAGAGATTAAAAAAAAAGACAAAAGGCAAAATACAGCCCTAAACTAATTAGGAGAACACGCATCGAATGAGCGCCCATTATCAGTGTCGTGGCGACCAAATCACACAGAGCGCGGTCGATCTCATCGGATCTCAAACGCTAAGGAGATCTGATCCCGGTTCGTGCTTCCATGGCGTGATGGTGGTGGGTGGGGTGGGTGGGGCCTGCGAGGAGTCGCGAGTTGGCGGTGAAGCATCGAGTTTGGTTTCGCGGACAGAGTCGAGGTTTGATTTTGACCGCGGACTGAATCCACCTGTGGAGTTGCGAGCGAGCGAGAATTCTCTGCCGGGCTCTCGCTCCCATTGCCTCCCGCAGGCCGCTCCGAGCGTTCGTGGAATTGGCCAAACACGCCTCGGCGTGGCGGCCCCCTCCTGCCAAACATTCTTGGGACCCGGTGAGGCTCCCCCCCCCACCCCCCCCGTGGGGCGAGTGAATTGCCAGCGACACCTGCGGGATGAGAGCAGTGTGCGGAACACCCCGGGGGGGACGGTCACGTGGCTAGGATGCTGTGGCCCACAACATTCACTTTGGGATGTGGTTCAGTGGCCGTCGTTGTGGAGCATTCATCACCCCCCACGTCCCCCCCCCCACGGAGTGAGTGAGCCGGTGTCAGAACCCAATGGGACCCCCCCCCCCCCAGTTAAGGCACGAATGTGCACCCTGAGCAGCTCTCCACACCGAGCTGCCAGGGCTACGCTGAGTGGGACGCCGCGAGTCCCCTCCTCCACCACGTGGGCTCTGCATGGGATGCGATGCGAGCAACGGGAACGTCGGTCCATGGGCCCAAGGCGAGATGATTCTTCACCTGTTGGTGCCATCTATATAAAGTACCGCTGTGAGATCCGACAAGATGGGGGGGGGGGGGAGGTCATTGAGGTCAATTTGCTTGTAGTTTATCGGGGAGTTGTCGTTAGTTTTGCTAGTGGTTTAGATTATTCCGCTCGGCACGTGGCAGTATTTTTTTTTTTACAAATGACGTGCCAAAGGTGCGGATGGCCCCGCGGATGCCGAGTTTTTATTTTATTTTGCTTCAGTCTGGTGGAGGTGGCACCGCGCAAACGAGCTCGTTAAAGACGGAGCCGGGGATGGAGGTGACCGTCGCTCGCCACTTTGCTTTGTCCGATGCAGTTCCGTCGACTTTTCGAGCAGAACAAAAGCCTTTGCGAACGTGTTTACATCCGACCGAGAAACAACAACAACAACGAATAACGAGGCCCCGCTCGAGCGCGACAAATTAGAGCGGGCACGCGCGCTGGTGAAAATTAAAACGGTGGCGCGGAGCTTAACACACGAATTGTCATCGTTCGCGGCGCCGGATTCTCATCACGAGTTTCGCTTCCCCGGCAGCTCCCAGGCTCCCAGTGCACGCAGAGGCAGCGACAAGCGGAAGGAAGTGTCGTCGTAGAGAAAATGAATCACAAAATACAGCCAAGACATTAAGTACCCTGCACATATCGGTCTCTGAATATAATTACACATTTTGTTTGTTTGTTACACAACCCCATCGGCCCCACGGCCCCACCGCCTTCTGGGAGTAATTCCAGTGACGTTGAGTCAGCCCAAGCAAAACTTGTTTCGGCATACGATGTCTCAACAGCAGAGTTATGCTCGCTTGAATCATAGTGGGTGGACTGGAGAGACCAGGCATAATGGTTGGACATATGTTATGTAACGATGCGAGATACCCAGGCACACACGCGGACTGCAGGGAATGTCGATGTGGTTACATTCGTAACGGCTGTGGTGCTGTTACGTATCGTGGCAATTCATGGAATCATAAGGGCGGAAACGTCACTGTCTTAGCACGGTGGCTAGGAGACGTTAACGACCTCACCTGGTATGCAGGAGCGAGTGGGATTGGATCCCGACCCCTGCTGCTGTATATTTGGAGTTTGCGGTGTCTCTCTCCCCATGGTCGTGTGGATTTTTCTCCAGGGCCTCCGATTTTTCCCTCCGCATTTCGAAACACGCATTTAGAGTATTTGGCAGCTCTGCGTTTACCACGCGGTAATAAGCCACTTCGTCGGGCTGCCATTTGTGTCGCTTCTGAAAAAGAGCTATATAGCACGGTGGGTCTTACCTGGTAAAATCTAAAATAGTTTAGTTGTTATAGTAACAGTAGCCTCAGTGTGGGTTGGGGTTGTAAGACGATAACTGTCGGTAAGACTGAAAACCGTTTTCAGAAACCGGTTCGGAAAGTTAGGGGCCTCGGAAACCGATTTCAGCGGATTTTCTTGTAATGCACCGATTGGAGCGTGTGACGGTACAAACAGCACGGCGGCAGGCTTCATGGTGAATCACGTAAGAGGGTGTAAGGGGGTAAAAACTCGAGGCAATAAAACAGCCCCGCAACATCCTGTTCATGCCACTTCTGGCGCCAAGCTCTGGTGGATACTTGGTCTACTCTTCCACGATGAACAGGCGTGTTGTGAAGAGGCGGCCGTTCCCACACTCTGCCCCACCCCACGCAAGCAGGCGACCGGTGGGCCGTGGCGATGCAACATCGACGCTGCCGGGTAGACGGCCGGAGGCTTGTCGAGGGCGACTTCGTTGGGACTTCTGAAGAGGACCCGAAATGAATAGTAGCAATTAAATTAAAAGTTCTAAACTACCTTTTGTGCGGTAAACATCACATTTTTTTTTACATTTTCGGAGACTCAACGGGAAGGGGTGGGGTCACGAGGCGGGGTGGGGTGGGAGAGCGATCGCCCTAAATGTCCCCCACCCTCTGGAATCCACCGCTGATGTCGACACCACCCCGAGTTCGGCTCCCCGAGTCTCGGACACTTCCACGGCGCACGAGGGGGGGGGGGGGGGGGGGGGCGAGGAGGAGGGGGCGACGTCTCCCTAGCTGGTGCGGAGCTAACGAGGAGCTTCCCGCACCAACCTCGCTCCCTCCCGCATCCACCTGCACGGCGTGGCCCGCGCGACTCAAATAATCAAACAATAATCAATTATTGAGTAGCGTCGGGGCCCCTGCAGCCGCCGCAGCTGTTCCATCTCATGCATGGTGTAAAGTGCAATTTGTTCCAGCGACAATCTGTCGCCGTAGAACAAAAAAACCCACACAAGGCAGCGGTGATTATATAAAAATTTCTCTCCCTCCGCCTCGTCGCGATTTCTCATTATTGAGTCTCGCAGTCGGTGGCCGGCATGGACCGGGGGGGGGCGCCTCCACAAGACTTCATGAATTTTTCAACACTCGTTGAACATTTTCTTCTTCTTACATCCACCATCGCCCCCCACCCCCTCCTTCCTTACCCCCCCCCCCACCTCCCTCCCAGAGCAGAGGCGACAGGATTTAGAACGCCGGCCGCAGCACCTGAGTCGATTGAAAATTTAATGAAGCTGCGCAAATCGGCTGCTGGTGAAGTTTTGAGCGGAGAACTTTGGCACGTGACACACACGGGGCAGCGCTGCAGGGCGGAGGCGCGCAGACCATCGCACTGCAGGAAGAGAGAGTGGGGGGCCAGCCACAGTCATGATTTGGGGGGGCGCCTCCACCCCCCCCCCCCCCCCACTCACTACCCCATAATAACCCGCGGGCAGCAGCTGTGGTAACAACAATAATGTTATCTGTTTATCCAAGGAAACCACGCTCGTCTCAACGCTCTTTTCGATTGTTTTTCCACATTTCATTTGGCCCGCAATCACTTTCTCACTGAGCGATTCCTCTCGTTGTAAACGCCGCATCTGTTCAGGTGCCTCGAGATTTACTCGGCGGCTGCCACCGTCTAAAACGACGACGACGACATATTTTGGGAGGGCACCTGCCCCCGGGATGTGTGTGGCCAATTCCATTTTGGGGTCTGGCTTAAAGTGGTGAAGAAACCGACACGTACAAGGGTGAACAGAACGAAGCTCCGCACAGATGGAGTCAATCGCCTTGCTGCACCGCCATCGATGGCCACCTTGCAGGCCCAAGAGTTTGGCAAACGTGTGTTGGTTCCACCTAAGTCGCTCCTCCAAAGCGCCGAATTACAGGTTTGCGCCACCGTGCCTCGCACGAATATCTCTGAGGAGGGCACGGCCCTCTCCACGTCTCTCGGTGCACAGCCCCTCTTCTCACGGCATCGAAGAAGACTGCTTCAAAAAAAGATTTAGCACGGCCCTAATTACCACAGCAGGAATGACAGCGAATATTACTGTGCCGATAACAAATGACACACACAGACACGCCGGCGAAACACCACACGGTGAAATAAAAGTTGATAATTACGGAAAAAATATCGCACCAGAAAATATTTAATGCCGCGATCAGCACTTGCACAAAAAAAAACAGGGATTACATTAGGGCTGTAAGCGAGGAGTCATTATTTCTTGTGAAGAGGCGCGTCTGTGATCAGCAGGCAGCACGGCGGTGACGAGCAACACAAGTGGCAAACCCACGATGTCCACTGGGTCCGCTAACAACCTCCGTAAATGGGGAGCCGCTGTGCGTTCTCGTTCTCGCGGTCGCGCGGCTGAAAGACGCGCCAGCGAGTTTCCGCTCACGCCGCTCCGGCGCGTGACCGTTTTTTTTGGTTTACCCGGCGAGCGCTCTCGAAGCGCCGCATCACTGCGCTCCGCTCGCACGCCGCCGTCCGGCAAACTCGCCCCGGCCAAAATTGTCGCGACACGCGCTTGCCCGTTTGAATTCGGAGCATCGCTTTGCCGCGTTCGTTTTAACGACGTGTGGCGGTCACGGCAGCCTCCGGCGGCTGGAGGGACCACGTGAAGCCGCGGTGCACGACACGAAAACAATAGCGCTTCCGACCCGACGCGATTCGATGCGACTATCGAAAGAAAATGGGCGATAAATCGATGCCACGTGGACCGTCCGAGGTCGTGTCCCATGACAATGGCCCGAGACCAACCAGGTGGGATGCCTCCAGCCTCGTCCCCTCTCGGAAGCCCAAGGAGGTTCAAGTATTTGTACGGCTTGGGCAGGTGCCCACCATGCAAGCCAGATGCTATAGGCTGCGGGCCTATGTGCAGGGCAGCGGTGGACAGTGCAGCAAAATCGACCGCCGCACAGTGCTCCTTCACAATCACGGCTGCACTCCTAGCCGTCACCAACCCGCAAAATGACCAGCGTGGTGAAGTATGGCCAAATAAGCCCCCCTCCCCCCCCCCCACGACCCGCACAGCATGCGGGCACTCATCCAGCAGTGGATAGATATAAGAGCTATACATGTACACGCAGCATATAAAAGTTAGTCGCGGTGTCCGTGCGCGTGTTGTGTTTATTTTAATCTTCTGTGCGTATTGCGCTTTTGCCGCGTCTATATAATTTGTGACGGGTTTTTCCGTGTGCGTGCGTGTGCGTGCGTGAGTGCCGCAGTTGGCCACGAATATTGCGGCCCAAGGGGAGCTAAGCGCGCCGTCTGCGACGATAAATGTGCGCGTCAGAGTTGAGCCGTCACCTCCAGTGTCGCTCCACGGCGCGCCAGCTCCTTCAGGATGGCGGCGATATTCTTGCAGTCGTCTGAAAGCAGAATTTTACGCAAAAATAAAAACAACACGGGGGGGGGTGGCGGGGGGGGAGCGGGGGGAACGGTGGGCCAGGGTGGGGTTGGTTGGGGGAAAGGCGAAAAAATATCACAAATTAAAAAAAGACGTGTTGCAGAAGCACACAAAGTGAGGTGAATGTTGTGTTAGTACATAATCTTGCTCGTGTGTAAAGCATCCATTGGAGGGTATTGTGACAAGCCACACTGCCGCTGTTTTCATGAGCACTTGTAAAAGCCGCACTGCTTCGAGTGGAAAGTCTCTCATTAATTTGTCTTTGGATAATAATACATCCGAAACGTGCAATGTTGATAATTAGAATGTTGTTTTCATCTTCTCTCGCACAAATTAGACGAGACTCTCGCTGACGACGCGCAACGCCGAGCGAATAGTTCCGAACATCTGCCGGTTATTAGACCGTTACGCGCTAACTAAATAATACTCGGCAGCGCTGACGCGGTGGGCGGTGTGCGGTCCCAGAGCGAACCCCGGCCACGGCCCCCCCCCCCCCTCCTTCCACCCCCCCTCCACCTTCCCCCACCGAGCCGGCAGCAACCAAATGAGGCCGCCCCAACAAAAAAAAAAAATGATTGTGTTTTGGGAATAATCTCTGAAAGCTGAAAGCGAAACATCTCTGTCGAGCCGGAATTAAAACATCTGACCGAAGCGCGAGATAGCGGTGGTAAAACGGAACCCGCAGGACACGGCAGGAACTGTTCGGCGCGTTATCAATCGGGCGGGCGTCTAGCGCCTGTTAACCGGCGTTATTACAGCCGGGGCGACCCAACACCCGATCTCCTCTTATCTTATCACTTTCTTTCTCTCTCTCTCTCTTTTTTTTTCCTTTCAGAAAATTTCATCCACGGAAGAAGAAGAAGAAGAGAAAAAAATGTAACTCGCTCGGGGGGAGAGGGCGGACGGATCAGCTGTAATCTGTTGATTTCGGCAAATTTTATTTTGCCGTCTGTCAGTAATAAGGTGGGCCTGCTAAATTTGATCGGGTGGCGAGGGCCGGAGGGGGTAACGGCGGGGGGGGGGGGGGGGGGGGGGGAGCGGACCACCAAAACCCCCGGACGGAAAACAAGCCATCGCAAAACGAAGGCATTTCACCCGCCGCCTCGATGCCGCGCACACACAGACGCGCACGCACGCGCGCGTGCGCCAGCGAGCAGAGTAAGAACACACAACGGCAGGAGAAATGAGATAATGTAATGGATCCAGATTGATTGTTGGGCTTTAATACACAAATAGCGTGATAATGTGATGGATGCGGTTGGCGGGCCCGGGCGCTAATCTTTCTGGGCACATCAAAAGGAATCGTACAAAAAAAAAAAACCCTTCGTAATTATCGGCTTACTTTTACTCACCAACATTCCCAGTCAAGAGCGCACAATGCCTGCCACCGCACGTCGCCCGTGAGTGATTACGCCGTCACTTACAAATGTATTTTTGTATCTGTTGGCATCACTATTAATTAACGATTGAATGTTAAACCTGATAACCCCCCCCCCCCCACCCCCACCGTGACGATTTCGGCCCCCCCCCCGAACCTCCGCGCTTGGGCCACGCACGCGTCCGGTCGGGTGATCGGGCGACGGGGCGCTCGGCGGCCCTCCGGCAATGCCGCGGGGGTACGGTGGGGCGGGGGAGGGGGGGCCCGGGGTCCAACGAACGGCCCCGGCCGCCGTCGCCCTGCCACGGCGCCAAGATCCGCCGCTTCGCACAAACATCTTGCACTAATTGGCGCCGTCATTTACGACACAAAAAAAAAACAAAAAGCGCATCAACACGGAAACTTCTCGGCTTCGTTATTAACGCGCGCAGTTCTGAACGAGACGTTGCGGTTCCCTCCGTTTAAAATAGATTCTTTTTTTGAATGATTAAATTTTTTCCAGCAGTCACGAAGAAATTATCACACTGTTCAAACGTTAGTCATTAATTATAGAAATAAAGCGGGGCGCCATTAAATAGTTTAATTAAATACAAACACTGCGCATGTGCAGATACAGGCGCGTTTTGTGTAATTTACTTGATAAAGAATTACGTTTGAAAATGAAAGACAGTCGAAAACACGCGCGCGCAGGTCTGTGAAACCCGGTGGGTGCGTTTTCAGACGCGGGCGCGTGTGTGCACGCAGCGCCCGCGTCCCAGTAGCTTCGCCAACAGCGCCGAAAGATTATGAATGTGCATGCGTGGATCGGTGTGTGCGCGCGTGCGTGCGTGGATGCTTGTGTGCGTGCGTGCGTGAAGCACTATTTCTTTGTGTTCCGCTCTGCGTGGCGGTGCACACAGCGCGGCGCTTGGCAGCCGCCTCCGACGAGACAACCGCGAGACGATCACACGGCCTCGGCGTCGTCCCTAACCGCGAGTAGCGGAGCCTGCCCCCGCCCGAGTCAGAGATCACGGCGAATATTTCGAAAGCTAAGGTCGCGGTAATCTCTGCTCGCTTCTCCGCAAACGTCATTTGCCGTCGCGGTGCTAATCCGATGAGGACGATAACTTATCAGCGGATTCGCAGCCCGGCCCTGTCCTGCCTCCGTAATTTCTAGGGCTTCGGCGCAACGGTTCCGACCGCCACTCCATGAAAAGAAAAAAAAAACGAACGACCTGCTGCTCAACCGCACCTGCAGGAAACTTCAAAGGCGCCCAACATCAACAAATCACGCACCGAGTCCCACTTTTGAAATACACACGGACGTGTGGATTATAAAAAAGAAAAACATTCGTACCTAGGGCTAGAGCCGCGCGGGCTGTCACGGCAGCAAATTCCTAATTTTTCATAATCACCGCAGTAAAATCTCTCATTTGCTTTCATGAGCCTGAACGCTCACTGGCGCCACGCGTCTCCGCAGCCTCCGCCGACGCTGCAAACGCGCGCGGCGCGGAAAACTTTTTTGCGAGCGACAGTTTACGAATTAGCGCCAGGCGCCTCGCTTCTCTTGACAGACGCGACCAGAGGCCACGGGCTGCACTAATTGGAAATAAAAGTAATAAGGAGGGTGGCGGCACAGTCGTCATCGCGGCTCATCCTCCGCGACGCTAAATTTGGTTAAAGGTTAGCGATTCCTTTATGAGAGGATGATAATTGGCCTCCAATCAGTTTGGCGGAGGAGGCTCGCTCCCTCCCCGGCACACCACTTTGCAATTATCTTCCTGTAATTGCCACCCGTGACTCGATTTGCTCGCCCAAGGCTTGATAGAAATTTCAGCACCTCTTCCGCGAATTTCTGACCGGCGGATATCTTCGCTGTCGCGAGAGTTTATTTCGAATCCCGAATTAGCGTTAATTACAACACACTGGAGCACAAGGCCATCTCCGATGCCCGTGCCGACAAGCCCCCCTGCTGATGGGGATGACTCAAGAAGACACTCGCTGCGCTAAAGCCGAGCAGCCAGGGGCACCCACATTCTTGAATGTGAAACTAAGTGGACTTCTGTTTATTTTTTATATAAATTATTACAATTTTTTTTTTCAATTGGAGGCATTTAAAAATTCAAGTGATCATATAACTACGCCAGGGCTAATAAGAGTGTTACACATTTTCATCTCTTAAGCACTTATTCTTTTTTGAAGCCATCACATTAAACAAAACGAGCCTACATTTTTCGAACCATTTCTTCTGATGTTACATTGCAGTAAGTAAGCGTGGCTTCATCGCCAGACCGTTATTGGTTTTTAATTTACAAACAAGCGCAGGGGATCTTTAAAGCGCCGCAAGGGCTGGGGAGGGTTTTCCACCGTAATGGAAACGTGGCTGCCCCCGACGCCCTTTAGCCGTGACAGCTCCGGCCTCCAGGCGCTGCTGTCACTCTCAGCGACCGCTCGCTCACGCGCCGTGTCACCGTGTCGTCACCGTGTCGTCACCGTCTCGCGTGCACACGCACTAAGGCGCCACGCTCGCTCGCATCTTGAGTGGCACCTCTCCACAAACGGTTCCCCCCCCCCCCCCACCCCGAGTCCGGACTTCCATTTATTGCTCGACGCGAGTGCAGCGGACCGTCGGTTTGTCACGGCGCCGATGGAGGAGGCGGTCCGTGCCGAAAGGCCTGCGTGGACGCAGCGGCGCGCACGACGGGGTTAAGGGAGCTCAGCGACGTGTCACGCCCCGCTCGTTTACAAAGAGATGGCGCGCACGCACGCACGCACGCACGCACGCGCTCGCCGAGCCGCTCAATAGCCGCCCGCCCGGCCCACAATGCAAACTGACAAACAACCACGGCGTGAACAGATTTGCTAATGTAATTTATTTGTCAAGGCGCTTCTTAATGGGCCAAAAATAATATGAAGAAGTGAAATAAATTCGCTAAGCCGCGGTGATGGAAACAACAGCGGGACGCGCCTGATGTAGAAATTGCGTTTGGCCATTTGTCTTTATGAGCGGCGGTTATTAATGGCTCGGAGGTGAAGGCACGGCACCGCCGATAATGCAGGCTGCGCCATAATCACATCCCGCGCGGCGCGTGGCGCAAATAAATAAATAACAACAAACACGGAGGGAGACAGCAGCCGGCAACCCAATAAGAGGGCAGAGTGTGGCCGGGCCGTGAGAGGTGCCGTCACTATTTATTAAGAGCTTCCCGCACCGGGCGGGAGCCGGGCGGGCATTAGGCCGGCAGGCGGCGGAGTATAATTCATCACGTAACGGTGCGTAATTGGCCACATTTCACACCACATTACTTCTCCACCGTATTTATAGTGGCAAAACGTGATTGCATTTTTTTTCTCTCTCCTACCCAAGCCAAACGTCTCCTCTCGCCGCTCACTCCTCACCGTGTCTTGCGCAACCCAACTACAGACTTGCCTCGGTACCCCTCCACCACCCCGCCCCCACAATCACCCCCCACCGTCCCGACCAGCCCAGCAGCGCCGTAACTATCGATCCCGCGCAGGCAGCGGCTATGAACGCGTAAATCGGCGGCCACGAACGTCGCCGAAAGTCCTCCCGCCACCGCCTTCGCCGCGTCCCGCGAGATGAC